GGGAAGAAATGGAGGTAGTGACAGATTTTATTTTCTTGGACTCCAAGATCACCGCAGACGGGGATTGCAGCCAAGAAATCAAAAGATGCTTGCTCCGGGGGAGGAAAGTTATGGCAAACCTAGACAGCATACTAAAAAGCAGAGACAACATCCTGCTGACAAAAGTGCGTATAGTCAAGGCTATGGTTTTCCCAGTTGCAATGTATGGCTGTGAAAGTTGGATCAGCTGGACCACAAGGAAGGCTGAGCACCAAAGAATTGAGGCCTCTGAATTGTGGTGCTGGAGGAGACTCCTGCGAGTCCCTTGGACTGCTAGGCAATCAAACCGGTCAGTCCTAGAGGAGATCAACCCTGACTGCTCTTTAGAAGATGAAACTCAAATACTTTGGCCACCTAATGAGAAGGAAGGACTCCCTGGAGAAGAGCCTATTGCTGGGAACAATAGATGGCAAAAGAAGGGGACGGCGGAGAATGAGGTGGCTAGATGGAGTCACTGAGGCAGTTGGTGTGAGCTTGGGTGGACTCCGGGGGATGGTGGAGGACAGGAAGGCCTGGAGGAATGTTGCGAGGACTAACAACAACAACATGTCATTCAGCACATGTAACAGTGTGTGTGGAGGACTGAAGAGGGCACCCTTTGTCATGTTCAGATAAACTTAGCTTAGACTGACAGCAGCTCTCCCCTCTGCTTGAGGGTTTTGTTTTTAATTGTTTTCCCAGAACTACCTTGATGATTTGAGGTTTCTACTACCTATGAATGATAGGCCCAGTTTTGTCCCCATCTGGAAAGTCTTCCATGGTCTACCCTCTGATAATCTCCAAGAGGTTGCCTGCAATGTGCTCTACATGAGAATGCCTTTGAACTTTTTGTAAAATGCGGTAGCTAGATTGATAAGAGGGACAAGAAAGTCTGGTTCTTGATTGCTTGCCCTGGCTACCTGTATGATTCCAACCCTGATTCAAGGTAATTGTTTTGACTTATAAAGCCTAACATGGCTCAGGACTTCAGTACCTGACAGAGCACCTCTCCTAGCATAAACTTATCTGGACATTACAATCTGAGGTCTTCCCTTGAATGTTTCCTCTAAGGCAGCCTCAGAAAATGGAAACAGGAAAGAGAGCCTTCTCATTGGTGTCCCCTCTCCCAATTATTTAATTATCTTCCCACTGAGGCCCACTTAGTACCAACATTGTCTTCTTTCTGGCACCAAACTGAAACTATCCTCTGCTCCTAGTCATTTAATGACAATGGGCAGGAAGTTTATGTCAGCTCTCTTTATCATATCCAGTAGCTTACTGAAATTGTTTTAGCTGTTTCAATTGTTTTAAATTTTGTACCTGAATTTTTTGTACCTGGTGACGGTGACACACGTGCTGGTGACTTCCCGCCTTGACTTCTGTAATGCGCTTTACGTGGGGCTTCCCTTGAAGACGGTCCGGATACTTCAGTTGGTTCAAAATAGAGCTGCCAGGTTGCTGACGGGGACGGGGTGTTATGTTCACATGACTCCAGTCCTCTGACAGCTTCACTGGCTTCCCATTGAAGTCCGGGCCCAATTCAAGGTGTTGGTTATGACCTATAAAGCCCTAAACGGCTTGGGACCTGGGTACCTGAAGGAGCGTTTACATCCATATATGCCCGAGCGCCCCTTGAGATCTGCGGGAGAGGCCCTTCTCCGGGAACCCTCCGTGAAAGAAATTAGGAGGGTAGGTACTCGGAGGAGGGCTTTTTCTGCACTGGCACCCAATCTATGGAATGTGCTCCCCAGAGAGGTCCGCCTGGCGCTGTCGTTATTTGTTTTTCGGCGCCAGGTGAAGACCTTTTTATTTAAATGTCATTTTAATAGTTAACAATATTCACTTATTCATCTGGCCAGGGCGACTTCTTTTCTTTTATAACTTTTCCTTTATAACTTCTTTTATATCATTTATATTTTTTATTTATTTTATATTATTAATTTTCATTTTATATTGTTATTTTTGTATTGTATTGTATTGTGTTGTGTTGTAAGCCGCCCCGAGGCTTCGGCAAGGAGCGGCATAGAAATGTTCTAATAATAATAATAATTATTATTATTATTATTTATGCTAAGCTTTTATTATCCTGAATTTGTAGTTTGTCATCTTTGAATAGCCCATCGGGCAATACAGAAATGATGATGATCATGGATTTTTCAGCTGACAATCACAGAGGAAACTGTGGGGAAAATTCCATAGGACTCCTCCTTGCCTAACAGATTGCCCATCCCTGCCTTGAATATTTCTGCTCCGGATTTTTCTTTGTTCCTGAAAATAATTTTTACTGGTACAAACCAATTGTCCAGACAACAAGGGGAACTTGTCAGGGAATTAAGGCAACCAACTGGGGGTTATTCTCAATGCATTCAATCTACCAACGGAATAGCATCCATCAGAGGAATTAATTCCCCTTTCTGCTCCAACTTCTTTAGAGATTTTAGAGAACCTCTGAGCACATGTTGGGGCATTGAGAAAGGAAGGTTACAAGAATGAGAAGAAGTAGAGAAAGTTCTGTTCAGGCCTGGTACAAATTCCCTTGTCACCTGCAACAAAAGAACTTGCACTACTATGGAATCCTCCTTCCCTTCCTGCCACTACCGCCTCCCTCCCTGCCTCAGCCTGGACAGTCCATTCCCTTTGCTGCCATGTTAGGGCTGGTGGCAAGGAGCTCCAATCTTATTATTCTGGGCTCTTCTAATATCTTGAGATATCAGCCATATGCTGAGATTTCACAAGAGCCTCGGAAATCCACAGTAACAGATGGCCAGCAGCTGCTCTAAACAACACATCACAGCAGAAAATTTCATGGCAAGAAAGAGACTAGAGGAGCTTTCTGTAGCACCCACTGGAAGTAGCAGTAGGCTCTCTGGACTGGGCTGCACTGCCATGATTAACTCTTCCAGGGCATGGGTGGACAGGCTCTGGTTCGGTTGCTTTGGCTGATGTCTGCTTATACAATGAAAGATGACAACTATGTATGGAGTTCCTCAAAGGACTGAGATTTTCAGCTGTTTCTTGTGGCACAGTAGTGATAACATCAAATCAAAAATGTGCATCAACAGAAGAACAAGAACAGCGGGCAGCACTTCTCTTTTTAAGAGACCTCTGTTACTGACCTAGAGATGAAACAAGTTAAACTGCTCACTGTAACTAATGGCAGCAGAAACAAATAAAAATGACTAAAGGAAAAAAAAACAAATATGAAAAGAATGTGAGCCCAAAATCCTTCCTAAATTGGAAATATTATTTTGTGACCTTGTACACTTTAACCCATGCACTATTAAGCATTTATTACTGTAAACAGTATAGATATCATATTCAGAATTTAGTTGATTAGCTTGGCTCAGAATAGGGGGAAAAATCCCTACCCCAGGTCATACTTATTCTTTAGAAATTCTGTTTTTGGTTATTTGAATTGTTCAGCCTAGTATCAGAGATATAGATTCAATCAACCAGGCTTCTGGCATGGTGTATTGTGTTTGTTCCTATTTTTTTCATGACATAGCTCTACATTTTGGATCTGTCTCTGTAAAACATGGAACATGAAAACACATTTCTTGGGATGAAAACAAACTAGGGTGGCCACTTAGAGAATGAGAAAAATTATGAACTACTTCACCCAAAATGATGAAAAAATGGAATAGCATTTTTCATAATATTTGCATATAAACATTTATTTGTATAGATGCAGATTTAGAAAGAAAATTTATAATTTAAATAGAACAAGACTTTTTACCATAGTGAAGACTGACAAGGAGAAAAGTGTGCCTGCCACCTCCCAGATAATAACTACAGATGGGCAACTTAAAGGCCTCGCCTTTCCTTTCTTCTCATTATTTGACTTTTAAGCAGCCTTGGACCGGACAGCATATCAAACAGAAAATATTCAAACACAGGACTGTTCTCACCCAGATTTCCACAATAAAGGAATGTCATTTCTAAGGTAGACCACATGGCCACCCTAGAGCAGACCAGGTATCTTAAATGCTTCTACTATTCACTCTTACTCTTGTCACTGCATGAAGGCATAGGAAAGTTAGTGGACATAGCTTGGGTGCATGGAAAACGCATCTTCACATATTTGGTGTTACAAATATACAGATGCCTGAAGTATCATTTATTATTACCCCATTAGAACTTTTTAAAGAAATACTGTCCTAAATAGCACAATATGTGGATCAACAACTGGACCAAGCATTTGTCATGGAATTTAGTCAAGAAGTTTAACTGGAGACATTGGGGAAAAACCAGTTTGCATTTGGTTTCATACTTAAGTAGTAAAAAGGGTCCTTAGAGAAGAGATGTCAATTGATCATTGGGTGAGTACAACTTTCTCAGAGTCATCTTTATTTTTACTGTTCCATTTATTCTACTGTTGTAAGCAAAATCTTAATACTAAAGATAATTCTAAGTGAAGAAGGAATACAGAGTTTGTTCTTTTGTTCCTATTTCTTATCTTTTCTACAAACACAAAGATGCATTCCTTTCAGCTCTTAACACAATTTGATGACATAGTGGAAGTAATGACAAGCCAGAAAAGAAACTTTAAACTCTAAACAGATTTTAATATGCAAAATTATTTTCTTGCTTAGTGATTGACTCTAGTGTAATAGCTTGCAATGTTGAAAGCCAATATTTACAAACTACATATACTTTTGAAAATTACATTTAACCAGAATAACTATTTCAGCTCTAAATTAAATATTTGGTCAACAACTATTATTGCTGTGCACATGTAAAAGAAATCTTGTTTTTCCTGTCTTGTGAATGGAAAATTAAAAGAAGAACAGGAAATAGAGACACATCTGGACTCAACAATACATTTTGCCCATTAGGAAAAATAAAATGCTCCAATGTCTTGGTCAGTATTCATTCTAATTTCCAGACCAGACCTAGAATATAAAACTGAACATTTTTTCCAATTTCTATTAGTTAATACACAAAAAGAACAAGCTAAATATGACCAAGAAGAAAGATCTTACCCTGATGAGCGGTGCTCAGGTTTATTTCTTTCGGAACGATCTAAAAGAAAAAAGATATAACATGAGTGTTAATTTAGCACCCTTCAAAAACAAACACACCATCACATATTTTTAAAAATGCTTAAAAAGCTAGGTTTTGCTTGCCTTTGCAAAGAAGTAGTTTCCCTGAGAGTAAAAGATAAAGTCTGCATTTTTAATATTTGTTGTCTAGCCCTTTGAAACAACACTGAGTTTACTTTTTGTGCTTAACAATTACTCCTTTTAAAAAGCAACAGACTTTTGTTTTGCAAAGAAAGTGAGGGCACAGTGGAAAAGAAAACCACTGGATTAGTCAGCACATAAAAATCACTCCATGAATCACAGCTGGCAGACTCCAGGCAGGGATGGGAAAAACAGAGTGGTGGCTGCAGGAGTTCTTGCAAACACAGTCTCTGTGTTAACTCTTAGGTTCCTTTGGATTCACATACATCAAAGCCATTTCATGTTGTTGGATACATCTTTATTTAAGAAACTATTATTAGTAGACCTTGCAGGAGAAGGTGAGACATACTTATAGAGTACTTAAATTGTATAAGAGAAGATAACTTGCACCTTTGTTGGTTTTACAGTTAGACTATGTAAAAAATATTTTGATTTTAAAGAATCCAAATAATAAATGCATTGTGTACATAACTGATAGAAGAGTAGTTTGTGTCTTTGTCATTGTATTTATTTATTTATTTATAAATTTAATGTGATTATGTTTTTCACAGGAACTTTGGGAAGTTTTTCAGACCACAAAAACTCATGAAGATTATAGAATTACAAAAATTCTACTGCAACAGATTATATTACTTAATGTCCACTTAAGTATATTTACAAGGATCTCTCTCTCTCTGTGTAGCATGTAATATAAATAAATACATTTAAATGTGTAACCCTTTTCTGTACCAGAAATCATCCTCCTAAAAGAAGTTTCTAACTTATGAAACTTTCAGTCTCAGAATGCCCCTTATTTTATTTCAGAAACTGTCATACAAAGTTTTGAAGTATTTGTAAATTTAAGATGTTGCCTTAATATGAATGTAACACTATACCCACACACAACAGAAGCACAATGCTGCTCCATTTCACACACAGATGACATATCATCATCTATAGTTGTACTGTAGTCTTCCATTTTTACTTGGTGTTTCTTTCTAGCAAAAATATTAATTACCACCTCTTTCCCAGCAACCATTGTCAATTATAAATGCATGTATACTTCTGTATGCAGAAATACAGTACTTCATTTTTTATTTTTGCTGTGCTTTCCATGGCATTTAATCAAAACTAACACTGCTGTTGAACAACGTAACTTTTCAAGTAACTGTCATAAAAACTTTTCCAGACACACAAGAAAATGCTTCTCCTTTCATCCTCCTTTCAACTACTGCAGTCTCCTTACCTGAGGCTACAGAGGATCAGACAATCATCTCCTTTCAGATTGTGTTCTGTCTGATATTGGAATTAATGTTTCTTGGTGCTTCACACAGACATGCAACTAACCAAGCTGATTTTCCAAGCTGTACTACATAAGAAGCAGACAGGAGAAATCACAGAACATGTAAACAGCACTCGAGAACTTCCCTCCAAGGCCTGTTTCTGATTGGCAGTTGCGCTGCAGCCAGTCTCAGAACTGGAATGCTGTCATTCAGGAAGTGAATGTTATTCCTTTTTCCCTTTCATTCTTTGTTTAAACAGGAAATAGTTCGGATAGACTTGCAAAATTTACTGCCTAAAAACAGTCATGAAAATTGCATTCAATATACAGGTGTCAAAACTTTATTAAAGATTTTTTTTAAATTGCTCCATAAATAAAAACACTTTAACTAACATATATTCACTCAGGGGATGCATTTAAGTTCTACTTAACTTTGCAGTGAGAAAGAAGAGTACCATACTTAAAGAAGATTCACTGATTTGCATTTTCAGTTATGGACAGGATATCAATTCTGTGACATTCAAGTATCATAACTGTACTTGATCACAACTTGCCACCAATAGAGAAAGAGCGGGAGGCACATAAAAATGTGAGACTCATGCCTAAGAATTTGAAATACTTTTTCAACTCTGGAATACAAATATAGTCTTTTGACAAAGAAATGCAGTAGTGGCCAACATTTTTGGCAGGTGTACTAGAAATCATATCCAAATCATGAGATAGTGACACTACTATGCACACTGTAATATGCACACAGCCCTCCACCCTGTGGCTTGGGGTTTAGGAGCAGACATCTGTACAAAACTAAATTATTAATCATCCTTTAATTTTAATTATATATCCAAAAAGACTTCAGCATGTTCAGCACTAACAACTCCAGGTTTACTTAGTAAAATGCAGTACTCTGGAGTAGGTATAGGAGGCTTGGTTTGAGACCCTAGGGCAGTGATGGCGAAACATTTAGAGACCAAGTGCCCAAACTGCAACCCAAAACCCACTTCTTTATCGCAAAGCACCACCACTGCAAAAAACCCTGAAAACTGAGGTTTTAGTTTAGAAAAAACACCTCACACCCAGTCCAAGGAGAGAGAGAGAGAGAGAGAGAGAGAGAGAGAGAGCGAGAGAGAGAGAGAGAGAGAGAGAGAGAGACAGAGAGATCGATCCTTGGCAGTGCACTGACTGGCCATGTGAAAGCTCGGACAAGTCACAGCTAATGAGTCGCGGCTCGTGATGTCATCGCCTGGCACCACTTCTTCTTTCCGAGTATGCCCATGGCCCCTGTGTACACTGTTAGCCGATGCTCGGCTGCTGGGGCAATGCTGGGGCGACTTGGCTCATGTACCAACAGAGGGCTCTGCGTGCCTGCTGTGGCACGTATGCCATAGGTTCGCCACCACTGGCCTATCCCAACCCTGGTGCATTCCTAACCCTAATATAGCGGTAAAATACTATTGAAAAGAGGGCGATGTTGAAAAAGCCTTCCTTGAGTAGCTTTTTCTGCCCTGCTCATCATTTTTGCCCATTCTAAACACATTCCAACCATCAAAATCATGTCAGGACACCCCATTTTTCTAACCCTAACCCAGTGATGGTGAACCTTTTAGAGTGCCCAAACTGCAACCCAAAACCCACTTATTTTTCGCTAAGTGCCACCACTGCAATAAAACCTGAAAACTGAGGTTTTAGTTTAGAAAAAACAACTCACAGCCAGTCCAAGCAAATATATACATACATGTCAGCGCACTGACTGGCCATGTGAAAGCTCGGACAAGTCGTGGCTAATGAGTCACAACTTGTGATGTCATTGCCTGGCACCACTACTCCTTTTTCAGGCATGTGAATGGCTGCTATGTGCACTTTTATCTGATGCTCAGCTGCTGGGGCAATGCTGGGGTGGCTTGGCTTGCATGCCAACAGAGAGGTTTCTGCATGCCTGTGGCATGCGTGCCATATGTTCGCCACCACTGCCCTTGGGGATATGGGAGTAGTGGTGTTACATCCAAATCAGATCCCCTGCACCTATTTAATACTTGAAATGAACAAAAGATGTGGCTGCTAGATACAGATTTAAAATAATGCTTGTTTTAGTACTAAATAACTGTCTCTATCTTCTTGCATCTCTTCTCTTGAAACATTTCAGGATTGTTTTTCTGAATAGAATGCTTTGCTTTATGCTAAACTCCAATAACCAACAAGGTGGCACTACTTTATGTGAAGGTCCACATTTAATTCTTGTGCATAGCTTACTGCATTAGAAGACAGAATTGGGGAATAAGTCACAATAGGACACTGTTGTCAGTGGTGCTGGGATTGCTCCTGGCAGCCCAACTCGAAGCAATTACCTCTCAGTTGGTTGTGTGGGAATGGCTATTTATCCCAAGGAGCCGGATGAATGGCAAGCTGCATATCTGAAACAGTAGTAATAGTCACTGTTGTCTAACAAGAGACACAAGTTAATTTTATCATGAAGAAAACAATTGCAGTGCACAAGAAAAGGAAAATATTCATTACATGCAGGGGCAGAAGGAGATGACAGTATAAGGGAAATAAGCCATAGGCAACATGATCTACCCCCCACCCCTCCTGCCCACACACACCACAATATAAATGGGATACCTCCCTGCATTTAAGAGTGGTACTTCTCTAAGCGCAGCCACTGTTAATAGGATATCATGATAAATTCACATGCTTTTAAAAAAGCAGGAAACAGAGAATCCTTTCCCCATTAACCTGCAACCTGCCCTTCAGAGCCTTGTTTCTTTTACTATTAATGGCCTCAAATCTCTTCTTTTGAGTCCCTGCATCAGGAAATAATTTTGAACAGACTACAGGAACAAAGGAAGTAAATTATTAAGAGTGAGAAAAATCTTAATTTGCTATCTATTCATACTGTATAGTATGAATACGTGACTCTGCCATGGTCTATGAAGCAGGGAATGAGCATCAGGGCTAAAACACTCCAGTCCCACCCCTCCCCTTCCTTTTGCACCTGGAATAATGTACCAAGTACTGGTCCCACTCAAATTAACAGGGATCCACTTGAACAGACCTTAGTGGACTGCGCTCTTCAGTCTTATACCACCCACCATCTTCGAACTCCTCAAAATGTTCCAACAAACACATCTCCAATCAAATGCTATTTAATGCTGACCTTTAAAACCTAGCTTATATCTTTCAATTTGGCTAAATGAATGCGAACAACTTGCTTCAACAAGGATCATTGTTTACCATTTCTTTCCATCCAGAAGAAACGAGCTGTCTGTCAGCAGCCTATCCCATCAGCAAAACAGAGGATTGGCATTCTTTTAAAAACCCCAATTAGCATTCTGTTTCATAGGCCTCCTCTATAAAATATCTGAAAAGTATGGATGTTGCTTCCATGTGGCTGCTAGGCACACTGCTTTTGTGTGTGGCAAGTGGTCACATGGGAGGAATGACCGCTGTTGGCACCTCTGGGACAAATAGGTTATATTATGCAACTGAGTGAGATAGCCATCTTACGGAAATTCTGTGAGAAGTCACTATGCCTCCGTAGCATCCACACCATTCAACATGCTCAGCCCAATGTGACTTGCCAGTTCAACCTGCCAGGCCAAGCAGCTGCTTGCTCATTTGCTTGGCCAGCTGGCCTGCCCAAGCACTCCTGCCTTGTACCCCAACAACATGGCTCCCACAAGAGGTCAACTGAGCTGTCACCTCAGACGGTCAGGCAGGCCATGGTCTGTTCTGTTCCTCCTTTGCCTTCAGTTCTCCAGCTGGCTCTGACACAAGCCAGATGCCTCTGAGACAGAATCAGCATCTCATGATCTCTGGCTTCCTCACTACATCAGCAGCCTTCTTCTGGTTGTTCCACTGTATGTGCAGGTATACAAGGGGTGTTCAATGTATTCTCGGTATCAGCATGAAGAAACAGGAATAATAAATTGAAGTAATTTTTATTTTTCAGTGTAATCCCCCATAACTTCAATACACTTATTACATCCAGAAATTAACTTTTCAATTCCCTGTAAAAAATACCCTTCCTCTTTGTCTAAAAAATGTGCGTTAATTGCTGCCTTAAGCTCTTCATTGTCGGAAAATCGCTTTCCATGAAGATCTTTTTTTAAATTCGGGAACAGGTAGTAGTCACTGGAGGCCAGGTCCGGGCTATAGGGTGGGTGGTGTATTTCTTCGAAACCACAGTCTCGCACAGCAGCCTTCGAAACATGCACCATGTGAACGGGTGCGTTGTCATGAAGAAGCAACACACCTGCGGTCAGTTTTCCATGCCTTTTTTCTTTAATTGCTTCTCTTAAATTATGCAGAGTGGTTGCGTAAGATGCTGCGTTTATGGTTTCACCTTTTTTCATTTCTCGATCAATAAAATTCCCTTTGAGTCCCAAAACACTGGCCATGATTTTTCTGGCCGACGGAGTGATTCTGAATTTCTTCGGAGGGTCAGCATCTTTTTTATGCCACTGCATGGACTCCTGCTTACTTTCAGGGTCATAGTGATGAACCCAAGTTTTATCTCCAGTAACAATCCGGTTGAAAATACTAGATGGATCTTCACCACAGAGCTCTAAAAACTCCCTACAGCACTCAACTCGCACTTGTTTCTCAGGCACCATGAGCATTCGCAGCACCCATCTTGCACAGACCTTTGAAAGATTAAGATGGTCATGAAAAATAGTAAATATGGTAGATAGGTTTGTCATCTCTGCTAACATTTTGATTTTTATTCGTGCATCTTCCAATACAAGTTTCTCAATTTTTTCACATTTTCTTTCGTAGTGGCAGTAACCGGCCCGTCCGAGCGAGGGTCGTCTTCAATGCTTTCTCTGCCCCCTTTTAAATTCACTTGACCACTTTTGAACAGTAGTTAATGAAGTTGCAGAGTCCTGGTAAACAGCCACCATCTCTTCGTGAGTGATTTTTTGACTTTTTCCTTGTTTTGAAAGGAACTTAATCACAGCACGGTGCTCGATTTTCTTCAACATTGTCGCGTCAGTCATCATGGTTGTCTTTCACTGAGGATTACTAGGGAATTAATGATCGCACTTATTTGAAATTTTGCATGTATACCCTC